TCAGGCGATTATCCGCTCCATCCTGATCAGCGGGCGTCTGGGTCCAAACGTGGAGCACACGGGATGCTTCGGCCTGCTGCTGAAGCACCTGAAATCCGAGGAGCTCCACTGGCTCCATCCCGAGCTGACCGTGGAGGAGGTGGAGCAGCGCTACGAGAGCCACCACGTGGAGGCCGAGTGGAGGTAAAGGGAAACCGGAGCTGTTGGCGAAGGCAGGTCGGGCGCGCGCGCGCGCTTTACCTTCTTGTCCTCCGATGACCAGGTATGACCTTCGTATCCGATACATCCCCGTCAACTTCCTGGAAAAGTTCAAAGAGGACCGATCCACGCTGGTCTACTTCTACCAACAGGTCATTGACGAAGCCTATCGCTTTGGATTTTTGGGTCGTTTTGGATCGCTACAGACTCTTAGTAGTAGCAGTGAAGTTATAAAGCTAGCAAAGATTAGCATGAGCAGGTCCGGTTTTTATTCCCACCCAGATTGGGATGTGCTTGACAGAGCTCGCGTTATTGGTTCTGACGGAGGAGGTTCGACAGCAGTTTTGTTTTTTTCCTGACTGATACCGGTGCAAGTTTGAGCGCTGACTGATGCTATTGCTATACGGCTAGCATTTGAATGACCACAGACAGATAATAGTGAACAAAGACCTGTCTTTCTTTTTGATGCGCAATTTGCCAACGTGTCAAATGGCGCCAACTACTGGCGAGGAGGACATGAACCACCCCCAAGCATCGGTGGTTGGTATCGGCCCGATAGCCGTACCTGTTGCACTCACCTAGCTTCCTGAATTTTCATTTGCGAGACGTTTTTGTTGTGACTTGATGTCAGGTACGGAGCGATTACATGCAGTATCACGCCAGCAAGGTCAGCGACGGGATGGCGTTACAGTTGGGTTGCTTGGAGCTCAGGTGATGAATATACCGAAGCGTCAAGGGCAGATTGACTTTGGCTGTTTGATGAATGCGTTACGTTTGCTTCTAGGAGGTTTTACAAGGACATGAACGCAAAAGGACTGGAGAAGAAGTCCAACTTTGAGCTGCTCGAGTAAGTTGCCCGTTCCCACACGTGATGTGATCTTTGTTTGTTTTGCGATGGCAAATGGACTCGGTTGAGCGGCGCGATTCGCTTGAACGTTCGCCGTTCCCTGCTCCATAAAGAAAAGAGGTGGGCCTGGACCTTTTCTTCCCCCCGGAGCTGATCAACAGCATGAAGGTAAACTTTGTGCTCGTGCAAGCGAACCTTTGATCTTGAAACCCTCGACTAAAACGGGCGCGCCGTGGTCCAGTCGAAGCAACTCCGCAAGCTGATCCAGCAGACGTTCCAGCAGTTCGCCACGCTCAAGGAGGACGACTGCATGGTCAGGTTCTTCGAGACGCTCAAGGAGTTTGCCAGTTACGACGAGGAGGTTTTCCCCTGCGAGCTCGTGGTGGGTGCGGCCGCGCGATTCGACACGGCGGCCTCAAAGAGTGAGCGCCGGCCGGTGGCTTAAACCGACGACGTGCGTTCCACAGCAAGGTTGGAGTCTGGCCGTGGAGCTGGTCATCGGCGGGAGGGGAATCCGCCAACGCACGCAGAAGAACTCGGCGGTGAGCAGGGCGCAGATTTGGTGTCAGAAAAGCGCATCTGAAAAGAGCCAAATGACGACGCGATCGAAGTCGATTGGGATTTTTACGGCGCTCGACCAGCGAGTCCAAATTCATCGGTACCGCAATTTTGGCAAATGATCACCATGCAATATTGATATCATATTACGATATCCTGCCGTCGAATGAATGCCATCGGCTCGCGAGGTGCTCCGATTCTCTGAGCGTCCTCATAAGGAGGCAAAAAAAGATTTTGCCGCGATTATTTGGCTCGCGAGTTGCCGCCGTCGCCCATCTTGGAGATGCTCCGCATGACTGATGTAAAAGCCGCTGTCTTCCTCAGCCCGTCTTTCTGGCTGACTTCAAGCAGATCAAGAAAGTGCAATGTTTGTCCCAGAGCGACGGCAAGGCCCTCATCAATCTGGATGTCGAAGGCGCCAGACAAGTGCGTAGCGGCGCCGCAAAAACGAACCCCGAAGAAAAAAAACACGACTTTGTACCCTTTTGACCAAACGCCCGCCCACTTGTCATTTCGCCCCCGCGCCAGCACCTGTCCATCAACGTGGCCACCGTGCCCATGGCCGAGAACATGATCGATCTCATCGACGGCTACTGGCGCTTGGAGAACAACTCGGAGGAGTCCATCATCTGCAGGCCAAATCACGGTAACGGGCGCTAAATACCTTGGCCTGCGAGCTTCGGTTCGGGGCAAATTCACTCGTTGGCTGTTTCGGCGCTCAGGTCGAAGCCCCGTTTATGGTCCGAGTGTTGCTTTGGCACCGCTTTGGCGTCCTCCAAAATCTAGATAGCTTCATACTAACACGCGGGAAATCTTTTAGACTGGCTTATGAATGGCAAAACAGAGCAAGCGCATCTCTTCCGAAAAAAAAAAAAAAAAAAGACAAATATGACTGCCTTTTACCGAGTCACTGACGGGAGTTGTGAAACTCTTTTTCGTTTAGGTCTGCATAACTTCATTGTACGGCCGCGTCTCACACGCCTGTAGGAGCCTGAATGAATGTTTCACGCGGCGCAAAATGTGTCCTGCTTTTTACTGATCTACTTATGATACGATGGAGTGCGAGTGTCCTCATTAAAAAAAAAAAAAAAAAACAGGAACGGTTGTCACTTCTCGGGGGGATCAATGGCGGGTGCGATCAGGGAACGAATGAAATTAGCATCTGGAGGCACCGCCGTGTGTCGGCGTGAGGGGAGGAGCTTCATTTATTCAGGCCGTAGCTTCGTCCAAGAGAAAAGTGGTGCTCTGTCGCCATCTTGTGGCATCTCTAGGCCAATTTACACCTGTTCCCTCATGAAGCCGTGACTTCAACATGCGCGTTTTGTGCAATCTTTGCTAGATGCCAGCGCGCGGAGCTCCCTCCCTGAGATTCCGACTGGGTGAGTCCAATTTTTGGGCACCAAAGGGGCCTCGCCATGCGAGCCCCGCAGCTTGAATTTGCATTCTTTCTCCCCAGAAAAAGGGACACCGGCTCCACGCGACACAGTATGGGTACGCTTTGCTCCTTCCTTATTTTCGGACCGAACACATGAGTGACACTATCCGTCAAATTCCTCCTTGTTTATTTTGTATTTTCAGGGTCGGATATCTATTGTGAGATTATGGATGAAAGACCCAGATCAGGTTGGTTGCAATTCACCATCTCGTGTTCAGAACGGGGGGGGGATCATCATCCTTATTATATATGACAAAAATACATTAGCACAAATAAAGGCCTTTCCTCGATGGCGCGTGTGATTTTGCTCCCTAAATCATTTCAAAGAACAATTTCATCATTTCTTTGTGAAGTTGTCAAGTACGGGATCGACCGCGGCGACATCACACTCGGGCGAATCCTGGGCGAGGGCTTTTTCGGAGAAGTCTACGACGGCGTTTACGCAGCCGCGGTAAGTCTGAGAACTCCACTTGACAAAACATGGCTAACAGCAACAAGCGCCTTACTGACTTTAGGGCACCTAAATGGCCAAAGGTGCTCCGGAATGTGGATCGAACACTTGTCGACGTCTGCCCTCTTTTTTTGGGCGTGATCGTCACACAATCAGAATCGTTGCCGAGTACAAAACCTGCATGTACGCGTCGTCGCCTGTCGCTGTTTGCGGTCCGCCGCATGATTGATTTCAACCGCGTGTTGTCGCCATCGGATCAGAATGGAGACCGGGTGAAAGTGGCCGTCAAGACGTGCAAGGACTGCTCGGCCGACGTCATGGAGAAATTCATGAGCGAAGCGGGTAGGTTTGCCGACCATCTATTCCAAAATAACGCTGGGGGCGGGGAGGGAAAAAAAAAAAATCACTTCTTCTTTGGCGCGCCTGCCAGTGATCATGAAGAATCTGGATCACCCTCACATCGTCAAGCTCATCGGCATCATCGAGGAGAACCCCGTGTGGATCGTCATGGAGCTTTACGAGTACGGAGAGGTCAGTCGTGGTCAAGTGTCACATATCGAGGTGGAAATAATCAGCGGGTTCCTCTCGGGAACTCGAAAACGCAGATCCTTTCCAGGTTCTCTATCGAGTTGTGGTCCGGAGACCAGCTAGGCCACCTTTTTTTTTTGTCGATGTGCTCTGGTGTCGCCGTGGCGCTAGGGTATGTCATTACATTGTACCTGTCCGCTAGCTTGATGCTAACATATGACGCAAAACACCACAGACGGGTGAAAAGAAATGAGGATCAACATTATGTGGCAACTATGGAAAAAAATCTGAACTAGCCACTGATCAAATGTCGCCGCGAGCTGCATATGTGTGCTTACGTGTTCCCAGCTTGGCAAGTACCTGACTGAGAACCAGAACAAGCTGAGCAACATGACCCTGGTGCTGTTCAGTCTGCAAATCTGCAAAGCGCTCGTCTACCTTGAAGGCGTCAACATGGTGCACAGGTCAGTCAAAGCCACAATCTCGCGTCTGAGCCTCCATCTCGACATACGCTGGATGTCTTTTGGGGGTGGGGGGGGCTCAACGCAGAGACATTGCCGTTCGAAACGTGCTGGTGGCCAGTCCCGACTGCGTCAAGCTGGGAGACTTCGGACTGTCGCGGTACATCGAGGACGAAGAGTACTACAAAGGTTAGTGGGGAGCGCCAGAATCGCAAAGGCGCTCTCGCCGGAAGACTCTTTGCGCGCCCCGACCGTCAATCTTGAGGTGGCCTAATGCTAATTTGAGTTTGGTTACAACCAAAAACGATGGCTGTCACACTTCGGTGCAGAAGGAAACGGGTCAGCCACGAAGGGAAACGTGTGCAGATTCATTTCCGACTGTTAAACGGCTCAGTCAAGTCAGCGTTTCACATTGAACGCGTCATTTGGGAGATGCGGCGTTTGTACCCGACAAATATGCAACCAAGATAACAACCAAGACTCAAAAACCAGATACCGTGCACAAAAAGTCAAGGAACTTACAAGCGGTGCTCCGGGAGGAGAAAACAGGAAAATGGCACCAGAGGCTGACTTCCGGATGCGTAGTTCCGCTTCCTGTAAAATAAACGTGAAAAATGAATTTGCGTTCAACGGACAACAATGATGACTCTCTTGAAACCGGCAGCGTCCGTGACCCGCTTGCCCATCAAGTGGATGGCGCCGGAATCGATCAACTTCAGACGCTTCACCTCAGCCAGCGACATCTGGATGTTTGGTCAGTAGGATTTTCATTTCAATGTATTGGAGCGCCGATTGCTTTTTCATGCGATTCACGTGACTTGAAGTGACAACGAAAGGTCTCACACAATTAGTAGATGAGCTCACAAAAGTGTTTCCCAGCATGATTGCTTTGCTCGCCATAAATTTAAATCCCAAACGCAAGAGTCGCGACGCGGCGCCGACGGCTTTGGGGCCCCTGTGAGCAAAATGCGGCCGCCCGCTTGAGTTGCATGTCCCCCCGCCCCACAGCTGTGTGCATGTGGGAGATCCTGAGCCGAGGCCAGCAGCCTTTCTTCTGGCTGGAGAACCGAGACGTCATCAACCAGCTGGAGCAAGGCATCCGGCTGCCCAAGCCCGACAACTGCCCGCCGGCGCTCTACTCCCTCATGACGCGCTGCTGGTCCTACGACCCCAGAGAGAGGCCCAACTTCACTGAGCTGGTGGTGAAGATCAGGTACTGCTGCACCTTTCTATCTGCACGGAACCTCATTCGGTAACTGAAAGGCATCGCTTATAAGAACGAAAGTCATATCTGTTGCTTTCCGTTGAGGAGAAAGAATATATGCCCGGGAATATTCTTATGTTGTCTGTCTACATGTGCTGATGTACCATTTGTGTCCACACACACAGCATCTGTTGCTGAAAAGGTTAGAACATAGCAGCTATCAATGCTAGTCAGTAGCATAGCACGTCGATGGTGTTTTGCGTCGTGTGTTAGCATTAAGCTAGCAGAGGTCTGACTCGTATAAATAGCAACGACAGAGCAAATGATAGTTTTGCAGCGATCTAGTGGGACATTTTAAAAGGCCAATCTCAAATCGTTTTTTTAAATGTGGGGTTTTTATCGAAAACATTTCAACATATTCCTAAAATTGCGTCAACTTCTTGGATCCACCTTGATTTATCCAACTCAAATGGCTTTGCCAGCGACGTGCACAAGATGGAGAAGGAGCAGGAAGCGGAACGCAAGCGGGACAGGACGCGCTCCATCAAATATTTGGACCCCAAGTTCAGCTTCTCCGAGCCACCTCCCAAGGTAGAAGCTGCGTGCGACGCGCTCAACGACGCCGTCAACCCACGAGCTTCTTGTCATGATTGCAGCCTTCAAGAAAGAAAGCGGGGCGCTTTGGGAACACGCTCAGCATCGGCTTGCACATTCAGGTGCGCACTTTCAGCGCGGCTTCTAACTCGGCGAAAAGAATACTTGAAGAAAACGAGTATGCGCGTGTGTCTCCGCAGCTGAACGAAGCTTTGTGCGCCAGCTCGCCGGACCTGGCCAGCCCGTGTGAATATCAGTCACCCGTGGACTCCATGAACACTCTGCCACTGCCCATCAGGTCTCCTCGACGGCGCAGCATGGGGGTAAAACGATTCACACATCTATATGTGGCGCTGACTTGTGAGCGCTGCAGCTTGCAGGTTTTCCAAATTTCATTTGCTTTGGAGCCAAATTTTAGTTTGGACTGAGCTTTTGGTTACACAACCGCTCGAGTGAAGTTGTCACCTCGAAACTCACGTGTAAACCGCTGGCAACCAAACTGAGTACAACCCGAAGTGAAAATTACAGGAGCCATCTGAGCAAGCTTACCTCTCTGCTTTCATAAGACACGTTGAGGTTCGCAGGTTTCACGCGTGAAAAGGGAGCACGTAGGTGAAGAAAAGACTCAAAGAGTTAATCGCAAGATTGCCATAGTCGATTTAGGATTAATCGCAAATTAACCGCACGTTTTCTATCTGTTCTAAATTCACGCCGAATAGACATTCAACAAGTTTCTACTAAACGTCTCAATACGAGTGGTGGTAACATTTAAAATTCAAGGCCAACAACAAAAATGATCCGCACGTCAAAAATATTTCTACACCTTGTACGTTAAAAAACAAGATTTGAATGTTGACACTCAAATCTTTCCCCGAATCCTACGTTCCGGTCCCTCAACAACATTGCAAGATTTTTTTTAACTGGAAATAACTGGAAACGCCCTCTTCAAAACAACGTTGCCTCTTCCCAGCCTTTTTTTTTTGTTTGTTTGTTTGTTTTGGGGTAGAAAGAAACTTGACTTGATCCTCTTTTTCCTCCGGTTTCTTCACTCCGACACCTCATCGATTTCATTCCCACTCACAATGACAGCAGAGTTGCGCTTACCTGCCACCTCCAGTTTGTAGTTTTCTTGTTGGTGATTTTTTTTCATGGTCTCAATATATCAACTCTCGTCTTCCATGAAGCGGCACTACCGATTTTTTTTTAAAGTTAATCAATGGAGTTTATCTCTTTCCAATTGGCCATCCATCGAGTATTTCATTCAGTCCGCCATGTTGTCTTCGGCCCGCGCCGTTGCTGGCAATATCTTCTTCGTTGGTGTCTTGGCCGGGACTTTCTTCTTCTCGTCAATAAACTCAGGTGGAGGTGTGTTATCCGCATGCCTGCGCCATACTGCCCCTAACAGGCCAACACGTCATAGTAATAACAAGCTGGTTCTGGTCCAAAAAATGTGGAAGGATGGCAAGTGACCAATTTGGTTATTGTACAAGACAAGGTTGTAATAGCTAAGTTAAAAAAATTTACTCTAAATACTCCATGTTAAGAACAAACAAAACAACAAAAACTAGGACTAAACCAAATGTCAACTAAACTAAAATAAAGCATTTTTTGAAATCGTAGAAAGTAATACGCTCGCTCTAAAAGTAATTAAAACAAGCTAAAAAAAAACACGATAACCGTACTGGGTGAACCCCAGTGAAAGAGGACCAAAAAAATGATCGGGTGCGCGTTTTGTCAGCTTCAACAAGTTGTGTCGTGACGCAGGCGGAAACTTTGCCGGTTGTCGCAGGAGAACGATTTCCTCGGAGCGGAGCCCAACAGCCGCCAGGACGCCCAGCGGCTTTGGCAGATGGAGCGTCAGCAACTGCGCGACACCTTACGCCGCCAGAAGGTGCAGATGGCGGCCGACAAAATGTGGCTGGAGAAGGAGGAGCGACTCCTGGTGGGGAACGCAACCTCGCTCGTCTTTGTCAACCCGCTCGCCGCGTCCGCCTGTCCTGCGCGGCGGGTGCCAGACGGCGGAGTCCCCTTCGCTCGCCGCGGGCGTTCCGCTCGTCTTAAGATCGATGTGCCCCTCTTAAGTGTGCCAAAGAGAGGCCCCGTGTCCGTTTGCTATAAAATGAACCTGCCTGTTCTTTTGCAGGACCCCGTGGGACCAGACGAAACCCCACCACCGGTGGTAGGTTTTGTCTTCACTTGAGCTCTCGTTTGATCATCCACACTGATGTTGTCTTAAATCTGGTGTTTTCTTTTTTTTTTCTCACTCTCTCTTGTAGTCCGATGAGGCAAATGATGAAAACGGTAAGCCAAAGAATGAAACATGCCGAGAGGAAAATGCCAATGCGTTTGTATCAGTACGCCAGCCACTATGAATCGTTCTTTGCCGTGGTAAAGGACATATGACTGGGAGTACTTGTATTGTCTGTCTGGATGCGTCGCATCACCCTTTGTGTTCAGTCTGTTGCTGAAAGAGTTGCAGTGCTGCAACATGGCTGCTTAGTCACATTGCTGTATGAACCCTAACCATTGAAATCAAATCAAATTGGGTGTCATGGTGTCGACCGCTTTAAAAACCAATGATGACATCCAATTCAAATCAATAGAACATAACGTACTAAAATCTGCATGAAATCAAATTTAAAAGAACTAGTTCTATAAGCCTGTAGGGAAAACAACAACAAAAAAAGGCGTACCTAATAAGGTGTCTTGCATCTTCCAGGCCCGCCGTTCAAGCCTCCACGGCTCACAGCACAGGTGATGACAACTCTTCCATTCTCATGATCGTTGCCAGCTCGACATTCGTTTTGTGATGAGCTATCCCCCCCCCGAAATAGCCGGCGCCCACGGCTGAGCTGGACCGTTCCGACGACAAGGTTTACCCGTGCGTGATGAACGTTGTCAAAGTGGTGGTGCAGCTCAAGAACGATATCGTCGACATGCAGCCTGAGCAGTATGTCACAGTCGTACAGGTGACACCAACGGTCCTAAATCTCATTTCAATTCGAGTGAACTGATATTTGTTTCAGGGAACTCTCATGATTTATTCCCAAGAGTCTATTTTCATCATCCTGCTGTGTTTCGACTGGCCACATTGCTTCCTGAATGTGCATGTAAATGCTACATGCAATTCTCTATAATATATTTTGATGAAGTGCCGTTGTGTTCACAGTCGGTGGGGATGGCCTTGAGAGAGCTGATCAGCAGCGTGGACGACATCCTGCCCACTCTGCATGAATCTGTGCGCACTGAGGTACAGGCGACGCCGTCTCCTTTTACATTTCAGAGGCTCATTTGGACCTTGTGATGTAACGTGGAACAAAAAGAGGAAAGGCATCGGTGTGTAAAACGTTTCATGTTGTTTAATCATTAAATTCTGGTTCCAAAATTTGTATTGAAAATGAAAAAGAAAAAAAAAAAAACAATTTGATTCATCATGCAGGGAAACATTTGTGGTACCTGGATGCTGAATGCCTCAAACTGGGGTCGTGGAACATTTACCTCCTACCTCCTTCAAATAAATGCCAGTTTCTCCTTTTGGAGAAAATACCCATCCATCTATTCATTAAAAAAAAAAAAAATCTAAATTCCAAATCATTTATGAAAAATCTTATTCCCCACACACACACACTTATACAGCCGCCTCTCACCCAATGTGATTTGCAATTGATGAAAAACACTAAATGTCCAAACGTGCAAACTGGAATAAGACGGATATTTGGCGAGGAAAGACGATGGACCCTGAACGCCTCGCGATCAGGCAAAAGAACAAAAACAACAGTATTTAAAAAAAAAAAAGGGTGCCTGGTACATGCCTCCCGTCCAATCTTTGAGGAAATACTGTAACGTTCTCTGGGAAGGGAAATCGCAAAGTGTGACGATGTAACGTTTGTTCGATGGTATGTCTTTTTTTTTTTTCTTCATACGCGCCTCCACCCTTGCACGCAGATCGAGGGCACCCAGAAGCTGCTGAACAACGACATGGCGGAGCTGATCAGCAAGATGCGTCTGGCGCAGCAGAACGCCATCACGTCGCTTCGGGACGAGTGCCGCAAGCAGATGCTGGCGGCGGCCCACAACCTGGCCGTGGACAGCAAGAACATGCTGGACGCCGTGGACCAGGCCCGCGTGCGCGCCAACCTGGCCAAGCCTGTGCAGCCCTGACGCCCCGCATCCTCACAACGCACCTCGAAACGATCCCTTCGCTCGACCGCACATGCGTCCGATACGCTCTGCATCCTCGTGCGCGGGCGTGAGCGCGTCCGCTTCCTCACCAAAGAAATATAGCTAATGAAAAAAAGAAAAAAAAACACCTGTTGTTGCTGTGTGTGACCCCAATAAATGGATTCGCGCAAACTGAAACCGACTAAATGAGCCCATTTGACCCCCGCCATCCCGAACAGGAACAGAAACGAAGCATTCGCAAGAGCCGACGCGCTAATATTCATTCATTGTTCATGCCAGTCACGCCAATGTTGTTGGCATTGGTCCGGTGAAATGCAAACGGAGCGCCGGTCTAGATCATGCCTGCGAGCCAAGGAGGCAGGAAGAGGCCGACGGTGCCCAGCAGGCACACCATGACGAACATCCACAGGAAGATGCGGTCGATCACCATGGCAACGTACTTCCAGTCTTCTTTCACCTGGATGCAAGCAAGCGTCAAAAGGATCTCAGCTTCATTCCATTTATTTGAATTCAACAAGTCAAAAAGTCAGCAGACGCGGTTTGCTGCCGAGTTCAAAAAACGTCTCGACTTTTTCTTGGAGCACATCAGGTTTGGGTGATATTTTCAATTTTTTTGGGAAACGACAACAACCTTTCGGCACAACTCACGCTGAAGTCGGCGTCCTCGGCCCTGAGGTGATCGGCGATGTAGCGCACCCCCTCCAGGGCGCGGACGACGCCGGGCGAGAGCGGGAAGTCGGTTTGCTCTCCGGCGGCCCGCTCGACGTCCCCGGCCCGACTCGCCGC